AGACAAAAAAGTGAAAAACTAGCAAAGTGTTTCAGATTCTATTCACACTTATACTTTCCCTCCAACTAGAAAAATAAAGTTTTTTAACAAAACTTTGCTTAGTTTCTGGATGCTGGAGCCCGCTCTGAAGTATTTAGGTTAGTGATTTTCACAAACAACAATAAAATTAGGGAAAAAAATTCAGGAAATGAAAGAGCAATGTTGCAGTTGCAAAGCTCATAAAGACAAACTGTTCTTGAGCCAATTTTCCGTTCTTTCCACTTTTTTTCTTATTTTTCTTTGTCATGTGTAGCGATTAGCAATTTCTTAAATTAGCATTTTGAATCAGGCATCAAAGACCAAGAAAACTTTTGAAAAGCACAAAAGCTTTTAAAAACAATGACAGGAAGAAAAGGTGGAAACAAGCCATATGTTTAATCCATACAAACGGCAGTCTCATCTTAACGCTTCTAAGGTTTCATCGATGACTTATAATTCACAAGTCAATTTCATCATCTGATTAACGATCATTCCTCTGAAGCTTCACTACTTCATGCAAATGTTTACAGTACATGAAAGAATATGCAGAAAAATGGCTTTGTCTTTTCAAAGCAGTATCCAAAGAATAAGTTGAGAGAAATTACACTTAGCTCATCGTATAGTATGTAGTACATAAAGTATAGGTAAGGAAAAAAGACAAGAAAAACTAAGCAATACAGAATGTTGATGGCAAAAACGAGATTTGCAAACGGTTTTTTTTTTGTCCACATCAAAGTCTTAAAAGATCAAACATCAGGAATTTTTGGTTGTGCAATAACCCTACTGGTGAACGTCTTTCTGCTTTTTTTCTTCCTTGACTGTAAAAAATCGAGAAGTAAAAAGAATGCCCTCAAAGATCTTTCCAATCTGAATGAAAAATTATTTTACAAATCAATTGTCAGTTAAAGGTCATAAAAATCAGGAAAAATTCTTTTTCATTTTTTTTTTCTTTTTATTTTACAGCAACATCAAGCAGATTTTTAGAAACAAGGGTGGAAAATGTAAATTTTTTTTGTTTCGTTTTTAGATACAAATTACTGCCGATCTTTTTATAAACAACAAATACCTTATCTGAAAATAGATAGCATTTATCAAACAGAAAAACTGTTGCAGAATCAGTTCTTGAGAAATAGAACAATAGCGAAACACGTGAAGCAGGTAAGACTAACATCAAAATAACAACATCAAAATAACAACAGGAATCTGAAATCATTCGCTGACATACTGACATATATATACGTATAATTTTAACACAGAAACAGAGGTCCAATGTTGCAATTTTTTTGGCCTTTAATCACACATTAGTTTTTTCGTCATAAATGTGCAAAAAATATCTTGTTCCTTATTGCAATCAATTTCTCACGCTTATTCATTGCTTGTCAAACATAATTGTATGCAAATATCTGTTAACAGATAGTCGCAATCATCAAACAGTGTGTTACTGACTAACAATTTGTTTTTTTTTTAACTTTTGATAACAATCACATTTGTGTAAATGTAAATTATGCTGACCAATATTTAGTTTTGATAAGTTACAATTTTTAAACACATGCAAGGAAAAAGAAAAACGATCATGTATAATTCTGATTATATTCGAAGACTAGAAAAAAAAAAAAAAAAAAAAAAA